GGAAGGCTGAATGGGTGATAGCTAGTCCTTCGACATCCCCAAGAATTCGCAATATTCTCTTCCGCCTTGTCTTGAATTTCAAACGCAACCTGTCGTCGTTGCACGGTTCCCAAGCATACGTGGAGCGTCGATTCTCGCGTGACGCCCTCGCACGCCTTGTTAAAAGCCGTCGCAAAGAGTGCCGTTTTCGATTGTACAATCTTCAAACGGCCACCGACACGCCCTATCTACAGTGCCGTTCAAAAGTATTCGAAGCTTCTGGATTGAATTAAAAAAACATAAAGAAACTTTCATTATTCCTTATACTATCTTCTTTAGTTCTACGTTTTTTTCTTCTTGATGATATTTCACACACACTGCTCTTCGATATCTTTACTTTATTTGCAATATCACATTGTATCTTATTTTTTTGTGGTATCAAAGTAACCTTGTGTTTTTTAAAGGTAAATGCATTTTGTTCTAATACCATCATGCTGTAGGTCGTTGAATTCGCCCTTCCATCGACAACAATGTGGTATTAAAAAAAAGGATGCATCGACCTTGAAAAAATTCAAAGTCACCTTGGTATTTAAAAATAAAATAAAACATTACAAACGAATTATTTTAGATTGTTCTTATCGATTCACCCTGTATATTTTTTTTACTACAATAAAACTGAACTACTTCTATCCATGATAAAAAATCTAAAGAAACATGTTTTACACGTATCTTTTTAATAATTACGTTGTGTATGATAAATGCGCCAGTTTCACTCGGGAGAAACTGTTGGGTTAAACGTGGAACGCGTTCCTTTTGCTCCCATTGTTTACACGGATGCTACGTCGGCCGAAAGACATCGGGAACGTTCGTATTAACGACATTAGCGAAACGGTTGCCGGTCTCTTTATCGAATTACCAACGTTAAGCCGAGGAACGAGCGTGGCTCGTGAAGTATAATGGATGAACGTTAACGAACCGAAAACGCTTACGCGTGCAGAACTCTTTGAAAGCGACCGAAAATCGTCGACGAGCGATGACGTAATTAAACAACGCAATCGGTCAATTCTGGAAAATCGTTCTCGTATTAATTTCCCAGGAAATTCTATTGGGATCATTTTTATTTCTTTTGCTTGTTTCGTTTGGGTTGATGCAAAAGTTCGTCCCATTTGAAGAAAAATTGTATTTACTAAAAATTACATTTAATCAATATAATATGTGTCGTTCTGTTCGATGACCTTTCTCCATCTCTCTGGTTGCTGTATAATCCTGCGTTCATAGATGTTCCGAGGTTTCTGGCTAAAGAACTGATCCAACAACGGGACGAAATTTTGCATCGACCTAATATTTGATATTTTCAGGTTTTGAAGACACTTTGCGTATGTGTGGTTATGATCGTTTTTCGACGAAAAAACAAACGGCCGTTTCCATGAATTTCCCTCGATCGAACGATGCCGATGCCACGAGTTAAATAATTCAACGGGCAATTTCGGCGAGAGTATCCAGGAGATCGATACGATACCCCGTAACCTCTGTGCCTTTGAATAATAATAAAATACATGGGAAACACAGGAACGATGCCGATTCATCTCAGAATTAATAAGATTCGTTTAACCATTGGGCTGACGGCATATAAATAATAAAATTTAAATTTTACTAGCGATTAGAATTATATGGATTTAAAGTTCATCGCTTTTTCATGGATTTTGGATCTACAATAATACCCAACTGATTCTATAACATGAAATGAATTTATCTTGAGGGAATTATTTTTTGTACTTTCTCTGGCATTTCCCTCGTTTTTAAGAATCCACTCTCCATTTTCTGTTCCTGTGTTTTGATCTCGTAAGATAGACAGAACTTCTTCGTAAACGTTTTATGCGTATTTTTTTAAATAACAATTTAATAAACTACTAATATAACAAATAAATAATTTCAAATAACAATTTAATAAATTACGCATAAAAAGTTAAAAAGTTTGCATTATATATTTTCTTTAAATTAGAACCAATTTCTGTATTTCAAGTATTCGAACAACTAATCAATTTCTGGGATTTATTACTCGCATTAATCGAGACTTACCTGTACACGAAATAAATCTGCCACAAATCTGACCTTCGTTATCGACGATATTTCAAGCGTCGATTTATCCTGAAATTCCATACCCAAGGAATTCTGATCACACTTCTATCCCATTATCAATAAAAAAAAAGAAAAACCGTCGAACTCGTTCAGAGGTCCTCGAAAGGTCAATCTCCTAGGAATTCCGTTGTTCCACACGGAGTAAACTGGCTGGTTCAGTTCACGCGGGGATACCTTTGACGGCTTTTCGACGAAACAAAATCCTCTGGATAGCAGGGGAGGGCGAGAAAGTGGCTTTGGTTATGTGACACTATGCAAGGCGTGTGCATAATCGCCATCTGCGTCTGATCTCGCGTTACACTCGCATTCCGTCTAGCTAAGCACCGTCGTCGATTCTTTAATCTAGGATACGCTGTGACGTTCGTTGGACCGTGCGTTTGAAGTCGACAATTAACGCTGGAAGGGGTAGAAGGGCAGGAGGGGGGGGGCAGACTCAGGCAATTTCCGCTTGAAGCGCTGTAAGACCCGACCTAACCTATCAAACTTCAATTATCGTGGTTTCTGGCCATTTTTCACCCTTTAACGCGTTGATTGCCAAAGTTTTCACTATCGTGATAAATAGACTGGGGATTTTGTTGCATTTCTAGCGTGTCTAGAGTGTCTAATATTGGGCGTAGTAGAAAGTTTTGTAAAGTTCAATGAGATTTTTTAATCCTATTTTGAATCTAATGGAAATTCTTACCAGAGTAAACGAACTTCTGTTTGACTGCGGTATCAGTAGGACTAATTTGCATAAATATCAGCTGTGTAATGATAAACCACATGCGGTCCCGTTTCAGCTATTGAGACACATAAATATAGGGTTGTTTGGAAAGTTCGTAGGGTTTTTAGGGTCAGAGTGACAATTCGTATTTTGTTATTTATATCATATTCTTATTTACTACTTTCTTTCCATTTTTCGATTAATTTAATTGTACCAGTTATATACAATTTCGATTGTATTGGCTAAAACAGAAACTCTTCAATCTCCTTCTAGATGGACCATCTTTTCGAAGTTTTTTTTTATACAGACTATTCCAATGATTTAAAGGAATTAAATCATAATTAATTATCATTATTAATGATTTTAAGGAAGCAGAGCGCGAGTATGCCAGCCGAGCTCTGATTGGTCGGGGTTTTTCGTTAATATCTCGTTAACAAAGCCTCGGATAACATTTTTGTTAAGGAAAAACTTGTTTCAAATCATCCCAGGAACCCCTCATTTCCGGGAGTCCAAGGTATTTTGGGACACCCTGTATAGTATTCTCTCCATAATTCAATCGCGAAGGGTTTAACGCGACAGTCATTTACGAAATAGACACACTGAATCGCGCCAAGATTGAAATCACACGTCAGTTCCACCGACACAAGCTCGAACCGCGACACGCTGATTTAATCGGGAATCATCGGTAGTCAGACGGAAGTCGAACAAAAGGCAACCCTTTCAACGTGTCCGAGCGAAACTGTGCTCGGATTTCTAGTCGAATCGCTAGTGCATTGAAGAAGGATGGTGCTCGCTATTGCGCGATGGCTTTGTATCTCTAACCGTGAACATTGGGATTTTCTGGATCTAAATGAATTAATCTTCTTCCGCGTCGAACGTCGTATTGATCGCGGAAATGAAAATAACAGTGATGTAAACGCCACGTAATACTGTAATGACTGTTATCGCAGTGAATACAAATCGTATTGGAGTCTCCAATTTAGAAATTACTCTTTCGAATCTTGTCGACGGATATGCTGTCAAATTGAATAGTGTCTTTTATTGTGGATGACGTAAAATTTTGTTAAATCAATATCTGGACCCTAGAGCCAGAGTGTATTAAGTTTTTCCAAATTTTAGAGGCAAGAAAATTAAAGATACTAGAATTTTGGAATCTGTTCCGTAAGAATGCAACAAGAAATAATCGCTAACTTCGAACTATTAAATGGATTCAACTCAAGCCTCGATAAGTCGAAATGGTGAACAGAAAGTGTGATGGATTACATTGCTTGATTCAGAACAAGATATAGACATTTTTACGCCATATAATATTAAAAACTAAATGACTCGAAACGAAATAATTTTTAGCATCGGAAAGGGTGGGAAATTTGTTGTAAA